GATGCTCCACATTTATGTCCTTCTTTCTCAGAGATGTCTGTGTTAGAATGTGCCTTACCATGCTTCTAAGCCTGTGCCCAACCAGTGTGTCCTTCAAGGGAGTCAGCAGGCAGTCACACCAATATGGGAACAGGTCTGTGCATCCAGGAACCGGTAATTCAACAGATTCCTCTATATGCATGCTTCTGAAATACCAGTTTGCCAATACAGCAGGTGAAAGGCAACAAATTTATAAACAATCTGTAAGAAACTAAGGGAAAACTACACAGTTTTCCTCACTCACAAGATCACCTTCAAATATAAGCTCAAGTTTTTGAGATATTTGCAAGGAATTGTGCATCATACAGAATCACAGAATGATTAAGGTTGGAAAATACTTCCAGATCATCTAGACAACAGCATTATGAATCAGATAGTGAGTGCAATGAAGAGCTAGATATCTTTACGTGTAGTACCAGGAACAGTAGAGATACCAAGTATCAAAAGCACCACAAGCTTGAGCAGACTGTGCTGAAATCCCAAGTGTACTCTCTTGACTGTTTAGATTAAACTTACTACTTTAATGTTATCTTGGACAACTCTGCACACTTTGTAAATCACTACAACCCATGTTGTGATGGAACAGTAGCAGACTTTTTCACGTCAATGAACCATAGCATGTCATCCAGTTTTAAGCAGAACTTCCCACTGGACCCTGTCACAGATTACCTAGCAACTAAGTTGGAGATTATGACACTGCCTCCAACACGAATCACAGGCTCACATCCTTCAAAGAATAGTCAGGAAAGTGTAAAGGTGAAGGCTGAGGCAGGAAGGAAGGTAGCATAGGTTAGTAGTTGGCTCTGTGATACTTCATTACTGATTACCAAACGGAATGGGTTAGTTAAAATTACCTTTCCAAAACTCTCATGGAGCACAGCCTGAGCAAACTGAATTGAGATCTCCTGTTTTAATACAGATGTACTGCTGAAATGCAGATCACACGCAGTGACCAGCTCATGAGCCACAATTTGGAAAACGCTGGGCTAGAGTTTGCTCTGCACAGTGGCTGCTAATGGAATTTATCACAGAAATTTTTCCCTACTGTTAAATGGAAATTTCATTTAGAAATGCATTAACGCAAAAACACCTCATTCAAAGATGTGATAAGAAGAGCTATAAAGTCTTTTACTTGGTAGCTGCAAATGACTTGTTAGCTACTTTTCAGATGGCAGGTTGACCTTACAAACAAACAAATAAATAAATAAATTTGTCATGAAGGCAAAAGATGCTTAAATCCCAGTGCATTGCAACCAGTGCAGGGGAAGCCTGGTCAGCCACATGGATACAGTATAGCAGATAACCATGCCAGACAGCACCAGTGGAATGGGTTGTAGTCTCTTCTGTACCCTTCAGCAGTTAGGGCACATCCATGCCCAGAGAAAAGTAGCTCTCTTTTTTAAGAGCTGCTCTCAGGTGAACTGAATAGTCAGACAGTATTATTCTGGATAATGCTCTTTGTCTCAACAACTGAATATATCCTATATTTTAAAAAAACCCAGTGAATTGGAACCAATACTTAGTCTAAATACAAGGACAATGGGATTGTGATGAAGACAAGGGCTAATTAAGTGCTAATTAGTAACAAAATATATAACCCTGAAGTAATACTAGAAATACCAGAGCAGTAGTTATTCCTTGCCACTGTATAAATTAGACAGCTAGAATATCCTTAGCTATCACCTTTTCAGGCTTCACAGGCAAAAACAATTCCTGATTATTACATTGGATTACAGGACAATCCTATTATTAGTCTCATCATATGTACTCCTTGTAATTAATGAGCAATGGCTTTAAACTCTGCTAACATATTTTCTATATTAAAACTTACAAGCAAATCATTCAAGGTTTTGAGCAATCTGGCAACCTATGCATAATTAGCTGGATTTCAAAATGGCAATTAGCCAATTTTACGAGGTGTATCCTCTCTATCTCTAGTAATAAAATGGAGTGTTTGTGTCTATTGCTATATGATGAACTGTATTAAACATTAGTTCACACGTATAGTCCATATAAGGCAACATAGAAATTAAGAAAATTAACCAGAAAAATGGGAGTAAGTTCATACTCCACCTACAGTGTGATAACTAAAAAAAAGCCCTTTGGGCCTGCCTGGAAAGAAAAGGAGTTGTAGCAGAAATACTAAGTCACAAACTGAAACAGTGATGGAGCACCTGATACAAAAGCAGGGCCAACCTGGAGGATCTCAGGTGCATGTAATGTACCTGAGTGATGGAAGGGGTGGAGCCAGGATCCAGCCCTTCCCACATGTTATTTAAGGGTTGGCAGGGGAAGCAAGGGGTCTTGCTGGAGATCCCTGCCTACCTGAGGCTTTGCAAAGGTAAGTAGCTCTTTTCCTTTATTTCTGCATTTATGGCTGCTGCATTTATGGCTTCTGCATTTGTGGCTTGATCTCGTTAGTTGCAGCCAAAGACTTTGCCACCCTGCTGTTGTCACTGTACTTTCTGTCATATTGCAGCGTTATGGGGACTAGATCTTCCTGCCACGACAAGTATAACTGTGTATAACAGTACAGTGTGTAGTGCTGTTTTTATTACCATGTGCTGTCATTAGCAGAGGAAGTGAACATTACTTTCTCTTTTGAACTATAGAGGCTGTGTTATAATGCAGTCACCTGTACTAGAGAGGGCGTGAGCTTGACTGTTCTGTAACAAAAATGGGCACTTCTATTCTGCAGACAGAAAACCCAGCTTACCTGGTAGGACTCTCTGGAAGCCGTTCTTTCAGCTCAGTCAGACTCTGTCACCTCTATCTCCTCTTCAGGCCACCACCTGGGGACATCAGAGATGCCAATCTTTTCTATTCTACTTGCTAACACCGAGTTGCTCTCAGTGCTGTGGAGAAGCACTGTAACAGGGAGGGCGCTTGCTCTGAGGGCTCTGGGATAAGGTACCGTTGCTCCCCTGTGCTGTGGTGACTTTGAGAGGGCTGGGGGCTCCTGACTGGACACCCCACGGGGAGAAAACTTCAGGCTGAAAAGGACGCTTTCAACTTTGCTTCCTCCAGGGGATGGATTCAAACCATTTACCTTCATACACTTTGAGGTTTGTGAAGAACTTTGGAAACGACTGTTCCAGCGCTTTCAAAACAGAGGTCTGTGCTCTGCTTAAGCCAACCTCACAGGCAGAACCGCGCAACACTGGCACACGACTCAGAAAACGGTTGGTCTGTTTAGCACTGCATTCGACATTTAGCATCCCCGGATCACCGTTCCTAACTTTGCACTTCAACTTTTGGTAACTCAGGACGGGACCGCCTGAGCTCTCCGGCCTCACCAGGCAGCAACCGAGCGTGGGGCTCACCAGGTGCCGCCCCGCTCTGTGAGGGGACGCAGCCTGGGGTCGGACGAGGAGCGAGCGCGACCGTTGCCCCCTCAGCGCTCCGCTCAGAGGCGGGCTGGGGGCGGGAAGGGGCGGCGCGCGGCCGGCCCCGCTACTGCGCGGGGAGGGCGCGGCGGAGCGGCGGGCGCCGAGCTTTAAATGAACATTACTATCGCTCGGGGTGGGCAGCGCCGGTGGCTCGGGCCGGTTGGCGGCGTTAGCGGCGGCGGCTCGCTCTCATCTTCTTCCTCCGCCTCCGCGGCAGGTAGGCTGTGCGCGCTGCGTGAGAACTTCCACCCATCCCCGCAACCGGTCCGCGGCCGCGCGCTGGGCGAGGCGAGCCTCGGTGGGGTGCAGCGGTGTGCGACGAAGCCCCGCGCCCTTCCCCGGGCGGGTGCAAGGAGGAGGGCTGCAGGCAGGTGGGCCGGCGGCTGCTACTGCTGCCGCCTCGGGGGACGCGGCCGCCCTGCCGAGGCACAGCGCGAGGCACAGAGCTGATCCCGCGGGCAGCGCTGCGCTGCGCTCCGCCTGTTGCCGCTGCGCTGGCGGCGTTCGGGCGCCTCGCGCCTTTGCGACCCTGCCGCGACCGTTACGGCTTTCTATTGACGTGTTCGTGTGCGCGCTGCCTCCGCGGTCAGAAAGGCAGAGCGGAGGTCGGGGCTCTGTGAAGAGCTTTTACGCACAGAACGCGGAGCCCTCGTTTCATCGGAGATCTGAACCTCAGCCTAATAAAAGTTATTTCCAGGAGGTGGAGTGTTTTATTTTCTTTCGTTTGATATTTAATGTTTCCATGCTCTCCGTCTGTAACGCAGCCCTGGATTTGCAGAGACGAAGTGCCGGTCTGGCACCGTGTTTCTGGCTTGTTGGAAATGGATTTGAAGACCTAGTTATAATTTCAGTGCACGTATTATCTTTGCTCAGTTGCTTTAGAACTCGGTTCGACTGTGTTTTCAACGGAGATGAGTGAACTTTAAAGAAAATGAGGTCAGGCATAGATTGCGGGCATCAAACCCCTTTCAGGTCCCAGAAGTAGCGTGACCCGCTCCGTTCTGCGCCTCACGGGTCTCTGCTTTGTATTTCTCACTGCGATTTCTGGGCACATCCAGATGGTTTTAGCTTAGTTTAAGGAAACAAATACGGTTTGTAATGCGATGGTGCCCTGGACTGAAAGGTCTGTGTTTCTGGTGGGGACTGTAGTGGGTCTTAAAACAGTGAACTGTGCTTAGCACAAGCTTTTCCTTTGTGCCTTTTGTAAGGCTTCAGTTTGTGAGAGATGATTGCTGCAAAGAAGCATCCGTATGAGCTGTTTAGGGAAAATAATGTGTTTGGTTATTATTATTATGATTTAAAAGGTTTATGAGAATGCTTTATTTTTCATGTTCTGTACTGGAAACAATGGAATTCCGAAGTTAGTAACCATCATCTAAAGTCTTCAAACAAGAACTGACAAATATTTATCTTGGAGTAATTGGGTCAGAAGATAACATCTTCCATCGGACCTCTTCTGTATTGGCCAGTTTGGGTTGCTAAGTAGCTATGATTTCTAATCCCAAAGTAAATGATGTCATAATGACATCACCACGTCCTTTCACTTGATTGATTCTCATAAGAGAACGGTAATGAGATTTGATATACATGTCCCATCTCTTTAATATTCTTCCTCTGCTCCAGGGGATTTCCTGACCTGCCTGGCAGATTCCAATGAATCACACTGAGCTCTAGTAAAAAGACATTGCTCTGGAGACCGAGCTGAACATTAAAGGGACAGTGGCTGATTCTGGTCATTTCAAAATCTGAGGAACTTGGCAGCTTATGCTTTCAATGTGGAAATCTAGAAATGAAGGACAGCAGTAGAAAAACTGGAGTTATTACGTTCATGTGCAAGTGCTAAAGGAATTTGAATTTCAGGTGCTCGGCTTATTCAAACTGACTTTAATTGGGTATGTGGAGTTTCAACCCTTCTCAGAATCAAGTTACTGAATGTATGTGAAGATAGATGCTTTAGATGGCGTGGTGGAAGCAGGAAAGTTTAATTTGATATCTTCTGTTGCTAAAATTAATTTTACTTGTGAGGGTACAAAGGTGAAAGCAGTCTAATGGCCATGCTTTGGGGCATTATACTGTAAACATTACTGTCATAGAAAACTCCTTCGGATGGAATTCTAAATATCTATAAGATGTAGAATGTGTAAGAATCTGTTTTCTGTTTCTTCAGAGATTAAAGATATGAATTGTGTCATTTGGTGTTGATCAGGGTTTTCTACAGCTTGTCTTTATCATGCATGTTATTCACATGAGCCTGGGTCTGTGCGAGTGTTAGGCAGTTGTGCTTGTGATAAGTAGCTGTACTGTGATACTTGACTTATTCATACCCAATGAGTTTGAAATATTTTAGATAGGACTGTGTAAATCTCAGTGTTTGATGTGTGGAAAAGAGGAAAAACAAAACAATTGTCATCTCTGTCTTATTGAATATATAGTCTCGGGTAGAGTTGAACACCAAGTCTGCTGCTTATATTCAGAGGCTGCACTGATCTCATTTGTTTCCTGAATGCTGTGGGTCACAGTAAACATACTGCAGAAGTAAATGCCAATTTCTTAGGAAGCAAATTGATTGTTAGTGTATTTGCTGAAGGTATTGATTGCTGATGAGAAGCTTCTATTATTGCTGAAGTACTGCAGCACTGATGGCATGACTAAGTATGGGGAAGTACAAACTAAACAGAGGCCCCTGAACAAGTGAAGGAGGAAGGTGTTGGGGGAAGAGATTTTTGCCTCTGTTTGAATCTATTCCTCATGTGTAACTGCAATCCAAGCTACAGATGCCAAAAGAAAATTTTTAAATAATCTGTAAGTATTCTGTGCTCGTTGTCCTATCTGCAGTGACAAATTTCCATGAGCTTTAGTTGCTTTCTGGGATGACTCAAGTATGAACAAGTGATTTGGAAAAAAATATTATCTCTGAAGAGAATCCATGGTGACAATTTCTTTTCAAGTTATCTTAAGATTTTCTACTTACTGTGATTTCTTTTAACTCAAGCTTGCACTGTATGTTGGAAACGAAAAATGAATTTGGACTTGGGGACATATCTGTGCCTTTCAACTGCACGTTCGATGGTCATCTGTGACATTTGCATGGTTGTGCTTTTAATACGGTGACATATTTGGTTACATAAAATGCAGGAAACCGTGCACCTCAAAGCCTTTCTGAATGCTTGTACTGGAAGGTTGATGCTGCAGTCCTGACCTCTTTGAACAGGCGATGACAGCGCAGATGTGGCCAAATAGAGAAAGGCAGCGAGCGCTCACTGTCGTGACAGATCTTGTTATAAAAGATGAGGTCAGTCGCTGTGGAGGCTCTCAAAGTAGCGGTTGAGGTGACAGTGTCTTCTATTGTACTGAAAGCAATAGGAAATTCAGTCCTCAGACTTTTGTTGTGTATTCTAAGCTATGCTAAGATCACAGGTGAATTATTTGGTGTCTGGCTCGACGAAACAGCGGTTGATGTGCTTCAGAACTCCCAGTGACTGTAGTGCAGTGTCTTGCTCCTCTGCTGCAAGAAGATGTCCTTTGGTTGTCAGTGTAAGGATAGCCGGTATTTCAGCCTTGACGTCTGCTTTTGTCATAAGCTCTGTGTGAGAATGGGCTGAAATACCTAGTGGATTACTGTCTTTTTTTCTTTGTATTTTAGAGGACAATAATGCATATATAAAATCCAGGACTTCCTCAGGCTGCTTGTGAGCCTTCTCTAAGGGCAAAACCAGCAGTTGGATATTTGAAATGTTTTTTTCTGTTGATTTAAAAGGCATCCTGATGAGCAAATTCATCGACACCTGGATCTCCTTTACCAATGAATGATTTCTGCCAGCTGCATAGAAAGTGCTGCTTCAAGAATGCAAACAGGATTTGCTCCCTGGTATGAAAAGAAAGAAAATTGTTTTCGAAAGAGCATCTTTGTATATATGCTCTCAGTTACGAAGGAATTTGAAGAAGGAAAAAAACATAGTTTCCAAAAAGAAACCCTTAGACTTCTCCCCTGGATGTATTTTGCAATTATTTTAATTGTTCAAGACCAACACACGAGCTTGCGGATGCAGATGATGACCACGTCCACAACAGAGCTGATATAATCTGCTAAAAGCTAGTACTAAATACTGCCATCAGTTGCACTACTGTAGCTGAAACAATGCTGGCATGGGTGGTCATGCTTTGGCTTTACTCCAGGAACAGATGCAAACTATTTGCATTTAAATTCTGGTATTTCCACTTTGCTACTCTGATCAGACTTAAACATTCAAAAAATGCTACTTTCTCAACAGTAATTCTGCATTGTATTGAGTTAATTAGTGCTTTTCATTACAAAAGATGCCGTGGGGAACACACAAGGCATAGCAGGTGCAAGTCCTTTGACTTAAGCTCTAATTGCTGCACTGCTTTCAATAATGGCTTTGGTGTCTCGGAAGTCCTGTATTTGTCTTACACCGTAGGAATTCCAATGGGCTGCTGCTGCCTGTAAAAATCTAAAGGGAATAAAATAGAAAGCAGATGTCAGCCTTATGTTCTGGTGGCTGGCACTATATAGTAGGTATGAACAGGTTCAAATTAAGCATACTTAGATATTAAGTGTTCTGAAAATACATTGTCCAAAAATAGATGGTAAGAATGGGGCTTTTTAATTTGGAAGATCATAATTTATGTCTTCATATTTCTGTATTTGAAGAGTTGATATATTATTAGCAAAATTAATGCTGATTTTAGTCTAAAGTGCTGTCTTACAATCACCTTTACATAAATTAAGTATTTTTCTGTGTTATAACATCACTACTTAGACATTAAAATAATTTAGCCTGTCCAGAGCAGGGAGGTTGGAACTGAGGATCTTTGAGGCCCCTTCCAACACAAGGCATACTATAATGAAAGCTCGCAGTGTAAAATCACCATTTCTGATGGCAGCTGTATTCATACACTTTCCAAGCAGTGCCTGCACAGGTTGAGGTTCATTCTTTATCTTTACAGGACTGTGCAACGAGATCAAAATCTAGCAAAACAGTAAGGAAAAATCACGTGAACAAATACGTCACAAAATTTTCATTTAAGTGTGTACCTTCTCAGTTACTGATCAATGTATTCCTTTCAATACAGCGAAAAATTCTTAAGTAAATAGTCAGTCTGATCGTGAATTTTGCTTGTGCCAGAAATTACTGTTTGTTCCTCCCTCTGAAGATTAAATAACAAATAGTTGTATCTCATGGAAGTTTGCTCAGCATACGTATCGTGTCAGTGTAGTTGTTGGAGAGGAGGGGCAAAGTTTGCACAGTTTGTACAATCGCCTTTCTTCTAAAATGTAAACTGCGATTTGCCCTTGAAGATCAAGGGCACCTGTCTGCCAGCACCTCTTCATCAGGCTGAAGCCTGGAACTGCTTAATTTGGGGGTTCTATGGTGGTGTAGCTCAGGAGAATGCATTTGCTTCTTGCAATAGTTGTATCCTGTGGAGGTGGGGTGTGTGTGGGAGGGCTTGGTTGGTCAGGGCTATTTTTTGCCTGGCTGCAGTGCAGTGGAGATTTGGTCTGACAATTGATACGCTGCTTGGAGAGAAAATATTGTTCTCTGTCTATGTGATATTGCTCTTTAACACATCTCTTAATTTCAGGCTACGACAACTGTTTCCTCACTGCATGACTATTTTCTCAGTGAAGCTGAGATGAAATGAGGCAGCTGTTCTAAAAACAAGTATCACAGGAATAAACATGGCCTCCAGTTGTGGTTACAACAAGAGGGCACTGTTTAGTATTCTCTCCTCCTCCGCTGTTTTTAAAGGCTAATGAAAGACTAAGGAGATAAGTTCATAAGCCACACTAGCACAAATCCCTGTTATTGTGCTGATGATGAGCATTGATAGTGGAGATTTTCTTTGCGTGGTACATCTTTGCTGCCTTCTGTAAATGCTACACATAGAAGAGGGATAGGTAGCGACACAGATGCTTTAATTATTATTTGATTACAGAGGAATCTATTCTGAAGAATATGCAGTTAGCAAAGCTTCTTAGGACTAGCTAACCTCTGAAATTAAAATTAATCTGAACAGTGCTTTTACATTCTGAAAGAATATCATTCCTTACAAATGTCTCTCATTGTACCTGTTAACTGCAGGAGTTATGAGTTGAAGGTACGTGCTATGTGTGCAGCTCAGGAGGCTTTCAGGTGGCAAACAGTGCTGTGCTTGTATCATAATGGCAGCTGCAAACACTTATTTTCCTTAGCATCAGCATGTTCATTTGATACTGGTGGAAGTTTTACTCTTACTTTCTATAGAATCTAAAAAGCCATTTTAAATGTTCATCACATATGCTTTAAAATCCTCCTTCAAGAGCAATGTCAGTTCTTCATGAACCACTGCTCTCCAGCCCAGAGGAACGTGACCTGCTGGGCTCCTCCTGTTCTTCTCTGTTTGGGACACAGTGTTTGCTTGTAAGCTGGAGTATGGCAGCACGAGGAGGGAGAGTTTCTAGCAGCATGCTTCTCCTCATAGAAGCTGTGTGAAACTGGGCTTTGTTGATCTTGAAGCTTGGATGCTTTCTGAATGGATGAGGGTTGTAGGAGCAGCATCAGGTGGCTTCATTCATCTCACTGACATGTCCATTCCGAAGTCTGATCTTGCTTGTGACCTTGTATGCGTTCAAAAGCACTGGATGCCCCAGACCTCGCACTGAAGGGGGCTGGTATGGCTAAGGACATATTAAGTTCAAGACACTTAAAACTTCCTTTCTGAGAACGTTGTGAGCCAATTAAGCAGAATTGTAGCTGTATATACTGTGTTCTGTAGCCTGGTGGTCTCCTCAGTCAATCATAAGGACAATTATGATGTGCCTTTAATGTTTCTTTTTAAGAGCCCTGAAAGCCTCTGGTTTCAAAGCGTTTCTATACACATACCTATGTGT